TATATATATATATTTATTTATATTAATTAGTTAAAACATTAATTTTCAACTTTTTAAATTGACAATTAACATTAGTGTGAAGTAAAATATTTTAAAATACAGGCTAAATCACATGCTCATTTGCAGTATTTAAAATGTTTCATTACATCTAAAACAATTAAAAATAACATGCACATACTTTAAGCACACTCAAATTGGCACCTTGTTCTTATACAACGTACACATAAAACATACTTTAAGAATAAAAGTAGTGCGTTTTCTGTAAATAAATTAAAATGCATGAATAGTATGCTCGAGTTCCAGTATATTTTTTAAAAGTGCAATTACGCTTTTTTTTTTTTACCAATGTACTTGTAGTATACGTTATTATAAATACATTGAAATGCAAACCAACACATTTGGTTCGCCGGCAGCTAGCTCTCTGCAACTCTCACATGGTCGCCCACTGAAGCTAAGCAGGGCAGTACCTGGATGGGAGACCACATGGGACAGCTAGGTTGCTGCCGGAAGTGGAGTTAGTGAGTCCAGCAGGGGTCGCTCAACCAGCGGTCTGTGTGAGTCCTAATGCCCCAGTATAGTGATGGGGACTTTATACTGCTCAGTGAGCGCCGTCTTTCAGATGAGACGTTAAACTGAGGTCCTGACTCTCTGTGGTCATCAAAAATCCCAGGATGTCCTTTAAAAAAAGAGTAGGGGTTTAACCCTGGCATCCTGGGCAAATCTGCCCACTGGCCTCTGTCCATCATGGCCTCCTAACCATCCCCATATCATAATTGGCTTCATCACTGTCTCCTCTCAACCAATCAGCTAGTGTGTGGTGTGCGGTCTGGCGCAAAATAGCTGCCGCCGTGTCATCCAGGTGAATGCTGCACACTGGTGGTGGATGAGGAGAGTAAAGCGCTTTGAGTGCCCAGAAAAGAGCTATATAAATGTAAGAAATTTATTATTATTATTATTATTTAGAATGCACTTTAAATAAGTTATTTGTGATAATTGTGCTTTAAACATACTATCTACATTTCAAGCACATTTGTAACATATTTAAGAGCATTATTTTTTTTACCTGGGAAGCCTGTTTTAGAGCATCAAACCGGAAACCTTGCATGTTATTGATGTTTGGTGTTAGTTAAAATATTAATATACAGTTGACGTCAGAATTATTTGCCCTCCTGCTCATTTTTTTTCCCAATTTCTGTTTAAAGATTTCTTCAGCACATTTCTAAACATAATAGTCTTAATAACTCCTTACTAATAACTGATTTATTTTATATTTGCCATGATGACAGCACATAATATTTAACTAGATATTTTTCAAGACACTAGTATTCAGCTAAAAGTGACATTTAAAGGTTTCACTAGGTTAATTAGGCAAGGTAAGTCATTGTATAATGATGGTTTGTTCTGGAAAAAAATGCTTAAGTGGGCTAATAATATTGACCATATAATGGTTTTTAAAAAGTTAAAGATTAGCCGAAATAAAACAAATAAGACTTTCTCCAGAAGAAAAAATATTATAGGAAATACTGTGAAAATTTCCTTGCTCTGTTGAACGTCATTTGGGAAATATTTAAAAAAGAAATTCACAGGCAGGCGAATAATTCTGACTTCAACAGTATATTTAGTTAACGCAGATTAACTAATGCTTAACACATGTGTTGCTCACTGCTAATTAGTCAATTAACTAGCATTAACTAACACAACACTGAAGTGCAACCACGTTAACTTACAAATACACTCTTATACTGTTTATATTAAAGGGACAGTTCACCCAAAAATCAATGTTAACTTGATATAACTGATGTTATATATGTATAACTGTTATATATGTTTTATGAGTTTCTTTCTTCTGTTAAACACAAAAGAAGATGCTTTGAAGAATGCTGAAAACCGGTAACCATTGACTTCCATAGTGTTTGTTTTCATGGAAGTCCATCAGCATTCTTCTAAATATCTTCTTCAGTGATCAACAGAAGAAAGACAGACATAAAGATATTGGAAAACACTTGAGGGAGAGGAAACTGCGAGTAAATGTTCATTTTTGGGTGAACTATGCCTTTAACAATTACATCTTAACACAGATTATATCCTATAAGTGCTGCGCATGCCAAATTAGCCGAATCAACCAAATAAAAAACACAAGAGTCTAGAAAAAGCCTAAATAGCGATCTATATACCTGTACCGGAGAGAAGAAGAAGAGGGAGAAACGGCAGCCCTTCTGGCCCATGACTGACCTCAGTTCAGCTCAGCTCAGCTTCTGCTAAATCTCTTATATCTCATTACTCTTCTGGGCTGAGCCAATGAGGAGATGCTGAGGCCTGAACACCAATCACATGACATGAGGAGAGCGCTGCAATACTGCATCTCCACCAGCAGGCGGCGGCAGAGTTTGACTACTGTTTATTTGAAATAGTCATCTGCAGTCTGCATTATGTACTGTACACTGCATGCACTGTGTACTGTAGACAAGATAGACAAGGTCATGCGCACACTCGTACAGTTCACACATTTTGGCTGTTGGGTGAAATCATTTGGACTCTAGAAAAATGATTTAAAGATGATTTATTAATCAAGTTTATTGTATATATATGTGTGTGTTTGTGTGTGTGTGTGTGTGTGTGTGTGTGTGTGTGTGTGTGTGTGTGGTATTTTTATTGAAATAACTTAATATCCTGAAATAACTAAAATTATAATTATAAAACAAATCACAAACATTAAAATATGATAAACTTTTTATTGAAATGATAATAGCCCACGGTTGGACGAAACCTGCAAAAACAATAAATAAATAAATAAATAAATAAATGTGCAAATAAATAAATAAATGAGTAAACAGATCCATATATTCAAGCATAAATCAATTAATCAATAAATTGAAACTCAAATAAATTAATAAATATATATAAAAATCGACAAATTCCTGAAAAAAATAAATATAGATAATTAATAATAATAATTTTAATAATAAAAAAAATAATAATTAATAGTGCGGACAGGTAAATAATTAAATAATTTACACAAATGTTGGGGGAATAAGAAAATGCGAAACTGAAGAAAACCTTTATTCATTTCTTGAACGCATTTACTTTTCCTCAGATCAACATGCTAATGAAAGGGTCTCTATCAATCATCAGAAATGTAATGCTAATTTTTTTTTAAGTTCAACCAATGATGAAATAAAGACCGCCTTCAGATGATTAGCATGTTGAGCTAATGTAAATATGGTTTAGCAACTAAGTTAAAAATTAAACAAACATTTAAAAATCAATTTTCAGTTTAGCATTTTCTTATTCCCCAACAATCGTGTAATTTATTTCATTATTTATCTACTCACATTTTTTTATTATTTATATACTCATTTATGCAGAAATTTGTTGATTTTAATATATATTTGTTTGTGTATTTATTTATTTATTTATTTATTGTTTTATGTATGCAGGACTTTTTAGATTTATTTACTCATTTATTTATCAATTTGTGTATTTATTTATTCCTTGTTTTCGCAGGTTTTGTCCTCCATAATAGCCCTGGATACTTATAATTCAATCGAATCAATAATAATAATAATAATAATAATAATAATAATAATAATAATAATAATAATAATAATAATAAATATACAATAATAGTGATCATAACAATAATAAACAATGATAATAAAAATAACAATAACAAAAAATAATGATAATAAATAAATAAATAAATAAAAATGACAATTAAAATAATAATAATAGTAATAATAAATAATAATAATATTTTTAAATAAACAGCAATAATAATAATAACAATAATAAATAATGATAATAATAACAACAATAAAAAAAAAAAAATAATAATAATAATAATAATAATAAATAATAATAATAATAATAATAATAAATTAGTTAATAAAAATAAATATTAATAAAATAATAATAATAATATTAAGAATGTTGTAAGCAATTTACAAGTAATAACATTTAAATGATAAGAAACATAAAAATATTATATATTATTTATGTTATGTAGTTATACACAATAAAATGCCACATATATGCTATATATAATACTATAATTTATATATTTGAGTATATATTCAATAATTTTCGTTTCGGCTTAGGGGGCGCCACAGTGGAATGAACCGCCAACTTATCCAGCATATGTTTTACGTAGCGGATGCCCTTCCAGCTGCAACCCAGTACTGGGGAACACTCACACACACTCATTCACACACATAAACTACAGACAATTTAGCTCACCCAATCCACCTAAAGCGCATGTGTTTGGACTTTTGGGGGAAACCGGAGCACCCGGAGGAAACCCACGCAAACACAGAGAGAACATGCAAACTCCATGTGAGGCGCCAGCGCTACCCACTGCACCATCAAGTAGATACAGAGAGAATAAATATTAATATAATTGTACTTTAAATTAAATTAACTTTTTATTGAACAGATTATCATAGTATAACTAGACTTCTTGAAATAATTAAAATTACGTCTATTAAAACTGCACAGACATACAAAAATTATACTGCTTTTAAAATGTATTAATAACTCAACATGTTTAAATGAAACAAATTTAAACTATTAATCCAAATCCCCATAGTATCTCGATACTAAAATAGCACAGATATGCATAAAATAAATATAGTGCATAAATAAACATATGATGACAATATGCCACATTTGTAGTCTATGTACTGATGTACCTATGTAGTAACATACTTTCAACACTAGAGGCCAGGACAGCTTCAGAGAGATTATACACCTTGTTTTGTGTCAAAAGATTTACAAAAAAAGTGTACCAGTTCCCTTCATGTTACATGCGGTTACTTTAAACTGCACACATCTGAGCAAACAGATTCATCAAGCTGATTTCCTGTTTCCTGAATAAACACTCGCTTCCGAAACGATACATGAAACTGATAAGCAGCCACAGAATGAAGACGACAGCTTTCAGATGACTCATCAATGACTATGAGTTTGTGTGAAATGAATAACAGATCTGACCTGTAGTTTCTCTATGAGCGGTGAACTCTTCATCTTGATCTTGGCAGGATGAGGACAAACAGACGACTTCTGAAACGGAAAATATATATATTTTTAATGAGAACAAATTCATTATAAAACTTGATTTGAGGCAAAACAAGTTAGGAATAAAGTACATCAATAAAGTGCATGTTCTCCCTGCGTTCGAATGGGTTTACTCTGGGTGCTCCGGTTTCCCCCACAGTCCAAAGACATGTGGTACAGGTGAATTGGGTAGGCTAAATTGTCCGTAGTGAATGAGTGTGTATGGATGTTTCCCAAAGATGGGTTGCAGCTGGAAAGACATCCGCTGCGTAAAACATGTGCTGGATAAGTTGGCGGTTCATTCCGCTGTGGCGACACCGGATTAATAAAGGGACTAAGCCGACTAGAAAATGAATGAACGAATGTTCTCGTATGATTTCCAATTAGCCACTGAAGTGACAAAAAGTAAAAGAGTTAAATGTCGTAGTAAGATCTTGCTGGAAATACACAGTGCATGCTCACCTCTTCAAGTTCTTCATCTCTTTGGTCATTAATGGCCAGTGAACATGGGGGTCTCCTCATAGACTTCACCTGCAGAGTGGATACATAAACTATTAGTGTTCATGCGCTGACATTATGGAGATGCTCAGATGTAAACAACCGCACGCAACAGAAATAATGTCCAGTATAGAATATAAAGTCCTGCTGCAGTGGAGACAGAATGAATATTGTGTCAGACTCCATCATGAGCTTGGAGGACTTCATCCATACATCTCTGACATGACTCAAATCACTGATTAATAAAGTCATCTGGAATGGCAAAGAAAGCGTTCATGCAGGACTCCCAGAGTTCATTAAGATCCTTTGTGTTCATCTTCAACGCCTCCTTCATCTTACCCTAGACATGCTCAATAATGTTCATGTCTGGTGACTGGGCTGGCCAATCCTGGAGCACCCTTTGCTTTCAGGAGCTTTGATGTGGAGGCTGAAGTATGAGAAGGAGCGCTATCCTGCTGGAGAATTGTCCCTCTGATGTGGTTTGTAATGTATAATGGGCAGCACAAATGTCTTGATACCTCAGGCTGTTGATGTTGATCATCCACTCCGCAGATCTCTTGCACGGCCCCATACTGAATGTAACCCAAACCATGATTTTTCCTTCACCAAACTTGACTAATTTCTATGAAAGTCTTGGGTACATGCAGGTTCCAGTGGGTCTTCTGCAGTATTAGTGATGATTGGGATGCAGATCAACAGATGATCCATCAGAAAAATCCACCTTCTGCCACTTTTCCAAGTCAAGTTATTTGTTGCCCATACAATTGGCATCCACGACAAGGCTTTTGTCAGGTAGTGTATGCTGTCTAAACCATGGAAAAGTGTGTGTAAGCTGTTAAATCAAATATAGAAGGATTTAAAAAGAGAAAAAATGTGTATTATTCTAACAAACTGATATTGTAGTCAGTAGCTGGCAGTTTACAACATTCTTCAAAATATTCAAGCAATAAACACAAACAGGAACAAGTGGAAACACCCGATAACAGAAATGTAATATTTGGGGTGATCTCTTTAACAACACAATGCAAAAAAAACAATAAACTTAATTGACAAAATATTCAGAATTCATAAAAAAAACTGCTGCAAACAGAAAACCTGTTTTATCAATTGTAGTCTCTCAATTAGTCAAGCTTACAACGATGCATATTGTTGTTTCTAAAAAACAAAACTCCTCCGTGAAGAGAATCAAGTATCATTTGAATGACTATCAACCAATCAGAAAGAAGCAGAATTGCGTCAGATGTTCCACTACCTCCTTGTTTCCTGGCATTGGCAGCGCATGAGCTTTGAGTTTTCCAGCCAACTGGGCCACCGACGTCTTGACTGGAGCTTCCTCCTGAAACAAACACAAACTCAGTCTCAACCAAATGATTTTCTAGTCCACACGATCAAGGGTGTTTTCACTATATTTTTTTTCTACACAGGTTGGCCGTTTGTCTACCCGAACACTGTCAGGTGACTAAAGATGGTCAAAAACGCCAAGCTGACAGAAACAAAACTAGCTGAGTGGAGTATACACTAACCTGCGCATTATTCAGTCACAAGATGGCGCCAAACAGTCAAAAACGCCAAGCTGTCAGAAACTAAACTGGCTGAATGGAGTATACACTAACCTGCGCATTATTCAGTCACAAGATGGCGCCAAACAGTCAAAAACACCAAGCTGACAGAAACTAAACTGGCTGAATGGAGTATACACTAACCTGCGCATTATTCAGTCACAAGATGGCGCCAAACAGTCAAAAACGCCAAGCTGACAGAAACTAAACTGGCTGAATGGAGTATAAACTAACCTGCGCATTATTCAGTCACAAGATGGCGCCAAACAGTCAAAAACGCAAGTAGGTGATTGTCTTCAGAAACATTTTTGTTGTGGTTGAAAATCTCTTCACATTCACTACGGCTGAAGCATTTTTCTTAGACAGGTCATGTTCTGTTTTCAAACTATTTTAGTCAGGCAGAGCTGATGTACATTGAGTTGTTATTAATGGGTTATATGCCCAGACGTGTTGTTCAGCCACTGAAATCTCAGTTTAATCTCAATTTAAGATCTCAAAAAGCGTACACAATGGCCTTTGGTGGATTTGCAAAAAAAAACACTGCATAAAATCGTACCTCCTGGCACATATTTGGCGCTCTCCAGAAATGTATATAGGGGTAGGTTTTCAGAATGAGCCTGGGTTGTGTACATTCCCCAATCTCACCCAAAACCTAAACCTAACTAATACCTTACCGTTAATAAGCAGCTAATTAGAAATTTATTGAGCTGAAATACTTAGTTAATGATGTGTTAATAGTGTACATTAAGATAAAGTGTGACTACAAAAACATGTGTCATGGCTGAGCCTGTGTGCTTAAAGTTATCCCAGAGTCTGCTGTAAAGCCTCAAACTCAAGAGTAAACACTTGTTCTTGGCAGGAGCTGATCTTACACTTGCCTTTTTCTCTCTACGTGGCTCAGCCAGCCTCCGCAAACAGAAACGCCTCTCTCCCACAACATTCTTCCGAAAATCTCCCAGATATACGCACTTTAATAACACTCTTTATTTAACTAGTTTTCCACCCCACTCCTCCGGCCACCAAAAACACGCCGTGTCTCTTAATTTCTCACACTTTCTGAATACCCCAGCAAACATTTGTGCTTACATGCACAGAAAGAAGACGTGTTTTTGCTCAGTCCACTTCCCTCCATTTCCTGCAGTTCCTTCTCTTCACCCATGATAAGCAGAAATCCCCCGAGACCACCCAGCCCTTGACTCGTTATTTTGGCGCCCACGATTGTTAACTCTTTCCTGTCCCTCGAAAAACAAAGCCGGAGTAAAAAGGGTAAAACTTCACAATAGGAACAATAGGGTTGAGTATGTTTAATGTCTATTTCTTAGCTCAGCCTTCTTGGTATTTTTGGCACAGAGGATTGGAGTAGGCATGGGCCGGTATAAGGGTGCTTTCACATCTGTAGTTCGCTTCATTTCAGAATCAGAATCAGGTTTATTGCAAGGTGTGCTTCACACACACAATGACTTTGTTTTGGCTACAGAAGCTTCGGGTATACATAAAGTGACAAGTGAAAACACAAAATAAATATGAGAAAAAAAGATGACAAACATTAAACAGAGATGAAGTTAGACAAGAAATCTGGATGTTGAATTGTATGTACAGATTTGTTATAAATATACAGGTTATACGGTGCTGTGTACTAATGCGAATGTAGAAAGTATTGCATTGTATATTGATATAAGGTGCTTTGTACAGCTGCGTATAAGAAAGTATTGCACATATTTATTGCACAGTCTGGGATATTTAGCCGTTCATGAGGTAGACAGCCTGAGGAAAGAAACTTTTCCTGTGTCTGGCTGTTTTTGTGCTTGGTGCTCTGAAGCGCCGACCGGACGGTAACAGTTCGAACAGGTAGTGTGCTGGGTGCGAGGTATCCAGAGTGATATTGCAAGCCCTTTTACTCACTCTGGAAGAGTACAGTTCTTGAAGTGTAGGAAGGGTAGTGCCAGTGATACGTTCTGCAGTCCGGACTATTCGCTGTAATCTACTGAGGTCGGTTTTGGCAGCTGAGCCGTACTAGACGGGGATTGAAGTGCAGAGGATGGATTGGATGACAGCTGAGTAGAACTGTACGAGCAGCTTAAACTCAGGTTAAACTATCTCAGCTGACGAAGGAAGAACAGTCTCTGCTGGGCTTTCTTCACAATAGAGTCTATGAATGTCCCACTACAGATCCTAAGAGATGGTGGTGCCAAGGAACCGAATTTGATTCCAAGGGCAATAAATGATACATTGTTGCATTTTCTGCCGTCTTTGGGTCATTCTTACACCACACTGCCGGCTTTGGTCCGAACCAGTTGAAAAGAAGCAAAATACACTCATCTGACAAAACCCACATCTCTCATTGGCCAGATGTTGTTGAACATAGTTCCTAAACTGTTATCTATTGGTCAGAATTCACAGGCGGGAAAATGCCAATGAACTTCGGCAAGTAAACAAACTGGCAGACATAAAATGTCGCTTTTGACTAAGGAGGGACGACTGCGCTGACTGATTGTATCCCTGCTTTAGACAAACTATACATTTCGAAAATGAAGCGCGGCTGGAAAACAATGTTTTAATTAGTACTGTCAAAATTAGTGCGTTAACGCATGTGAATCATTTGAAATATTTAACGTGTAAATAAAAAATTACGCAATTAACGCAGTTGCAGGTTTTTTTTTTTTACTTCCTGTTGTGGTGGAAGTGCAATTGTTTGTATTCAATACTTTATTATTATTATTATTATTATTATTATTATTATTTTACATATCTGCAATGCCAGTATTTTGCCTTTTTTTGCCGTTCACTTAGAATACAATGTAGAAATCAATGTTTTCTTTATTGGCATTGATTGTTTAGAAATTTAAATGGCATTAACATGCCTGTGTTTTTATTTCTGTAATAAATATGGCTGTCAAGCCAGGATCTTGATGGTTTATTGTGGGTATGTTGTTTACATGAAGAAATCTGTGTTACAAGTTAAACAAAAATTCTAATAAACAATTATATTTTGAATTTCAATAGTTTTTGTCTTGCGTTTACATTAATTTTACATTTGAATAGCCAAAATTACAAGTTTCAGTCTTTTAAATGCGATTAATTGAGATTAATAAAAAAAAAGTGTGATTAATTAGTTAATTTTTTTAATCGATTGACAGCACTAGTTTTAATGCAAGGCACGTCACTTCAGGAGGAGGCGTGAATTAATTTAGCTAAACTGCGACATGGTCATCTTGCACAAATATTACCAAATATTTTTCCTCCATATCCCATAATGCACAGCGCATTGGCCTACGGCAGCTGGATTAGTCCAAAAGGCGCAGTACTTTTTACGTTTTGGTCCATTTTAGTTCGGATCATTTTCTCAAATGGACATGAATTTAGTATTACAGTCAAGCTGATTTTAAAAAGCCATCTATATTTTTAAAGAAAGCAGTTAAATGTGCAAAGTATGACCTAAATCTGTAGGGCAGAGACACTTTTAACCCTATGTTTGGATAAGTCTGCTGGGCGGGTGGGAATTATGGGCTCGTTTTGGGAGTGGGAGTACAGAGAGCTCTATTTTAGGGTGCTGTGGCTTGAGAAATGAACCGCAAAGTCTTGTGAAGGTCTGGGTCAGTGATACTTGAGCAAAACCATGTCAGCGGACAAGGATCTTGTGCAATTTGTGGAATGGGAAACACTGGATTAAACTGTGTTAAAGTTACAGCAGGGTTTTAAAGACCTTTATAAGACCATTATGAATAAAATTTCAGACTTATGCTGCATAAGTTAAAGATAAGTGGTGGCACAATGGCCACACAGCAAGAAGGCCGCTGGTTTGTATCCCGGCTAGGCCAGTTGGCATTTCTATGTGGAGTTGAAGACATGCGCTATGGGAATTTAATAAACTAAATTGCATGTAGTGTGTGTGAGTTTTTATGGGTGTTGTCCAGTAGTGGGTTGCGGCTGAAAGGGCATTCACTGTGTAAAACATATGCTGGAATAGTTTGTGGTTCATTCCACTGTGGTGACCCCTCATAAATTACAGTAATAAGCCACTTTAGACCTCACCACTGTTTAGCTAATGGTTTATGTTTAGCTAGTTAACATATAGCAGTGTACTAGCGAAGTATCACTTTACGAAGTCACACTGTGTGTAGTTTTTTTTTTACATGGTTGCTTAAAGTTCCTATGAAATTAAAAGGAAATCTATCTTGAAGATATCTACAAGCTAGTGTGCTTCAAAACAGTAATAAAATTAGCATTTTTGAAAATAAAATCATCCAAAGTTTGCAGTTTGTCAATTCCGGCTAAATGGATTAACGATTTTTGTATCTCATACTTCAGATACAAATCAAATCTTCTGACCAATCAATCAAATGCTCTCTAGTATGAGACATGCCCCCCCACCCTTTTTAAGATTTACTTTTGGCCTTTTTTAGATAGGAAATTATTAGATAGGACAGGAAGCGAAGTGGGAGAGAGAGAGGGGGGTAGGGTTGGGAAATGTCCTCAAATGGGAGTCGAACTCGGGTCGCCCTGACGTGCTACTGCACCATATGTCAATGCGATAACCCCTGGGTTATTGCGCCGACATGCTCCGCCCCCTTTGACGCATCTCATAAAGGCTGATTGATACTTCTGCGTCAAGCGCATGCGTATGCTACGGCGCAGCCTACACATTGACGCATAGCCCTACGCCGTGGCCGTCGCTGACATGCACCTCTCAAAAAATTTAACTACACGTCGCAACAACGTGTATCGCAAGCTCTGTGATTGGTCGGCTTGGTAGCGCTGACAAGTCAGGGCGGAACCG